TAGCGTATCAGTTGTTGGTCTCCATTCTTTTGCAGGATGCTATGTCTTTGGCTGATGCCGATGCTGCTCAGACTGGAGACATGATTGGTCAGGCTGGATACGCCTGAAGATTGGGGCTTGCAGCTTTTCACACACTGGGCAGGATGTTCTATGTCATGTGTCATGTGATGGGGTGTGTACGCTTTGCCCTGTGGTTGGCACTGTGTGCATTTGGTAGGAGGGTGTTCCTGAAGTCCAAGAACCGACCCAGGACTGCTTCATGGGATATTTTTTAGTGTGTGGGGCAGTCGTCAAATCCAAAGTGGAAGTTACGCTGAGAAGTGTTCTACAAGAAAAAATGACGCAAACGTGGGTCTGTGGCATTTTCTGGTTTGTAGAGGTGCTCTCGCAATCGGCTTGCCACCGAGTCATTCTGCCTCACTGCAAAGCCATGAGTCGCATGATGCCAATGTGGAGCCTTGCCTGTATCATTTTCACTTCACGGGTGGCATGTGTGAAAGGCAGCTCGCAAACAGAACCAGTATTGTTTTCGTTTGAGCTGGTTCTGAGCATGGCCGTGATCCTCCTGAGCATGATTGGATGGTTTTTGGCGCAGGGCATTTTTCGCTTAGTCATGTGGCATGACATGGGACATTCTCGCTCTGGACAAGCAATGGAATCGACCGCTGAAGATGGCAGTGCTCAGATTAAATCGAGCGACTCAACAACCACATTGTTAGAGCGCAAGATCTCAGAACTTCTTTCTGAGAATGAAGCTCTTCAGAATAGAATCAAAAGGATTAAAGAGCTCTACGCAAGGCCCATTCCACATCAGGTGTGGGTCACAAAGAGTGGCCGAGTTTATCACACCTCATTGGATTGTCCTGCCGTGAAACATTCAGATAGCTCTGGGCTGCAAGGCTTCATGTCTTGCAGCTTTTGTGTGAATCGTGCTTACGATGCACTGCACCAAGTGTGACATGAGTTGAGAAGACATCCCTCAAATCTGTGGGCAAGCTGCAGAGTTGTCAAAAAGAGCGTCCACCAGTCATGTAAGACTTGGGAACTTCTTTATATACACCTGGAGATTGGGGCTTGCAGCTTTTCACACACTGAGCAGGATGTTCTATGTCATGTGTCGTGTGATGGGGTGTGTACGCTTTGCCCTGCACACCGGACTTTAATGCATGGTTCCCGTAGGAGAGCGGCCCTGCAGTGATGAAAGCCAGTCAGGAGTTTTCTGCGGGCGTGCTTCCTTGTTGCATGGCACTCTTGTATGCATAGAGTCCTTAAGCAATCCTTTCAACGAGATCACTGTCACTGCAAACATTGTTCAACTCTTTATGCATGTGAAAGGTTTGATGTACTATACATATATACTTACATAAACTGTACCATTAGCAATGGAAATGAGCAAGGGGTCCTGTGTCATGTGGTGCAGGAGGGCCCCTCCAAGACGTCTTTCTTCACCTTCGTGCCAGCAAAGCCGACCAACGAGGAAGAACATGTTTCGAAGTTTTGCTTTGCTTGATGCATTCAAACCCATTGGCCTGAATCACAGGACAATGCACTGTTATATATATATATAGTGATATACTGATATATCTATATAGTGTAACACGTTCATCCAAAGTATGTGTGTGGTGACTTACATTTGTGTGCTTCTGCGCAGGCCATGATCGATGTGTCAGATGGTTTGGCTTTCACAGATGCTGGCCAAGAATATGCTCTGAAGTGGCCAAAAAGCAAGAAAAAAGTTGTGCCAGACCCGGCCAAAGCTCAGACTCTTGAAGAGGCATTCCAGTGGCCGGTCAAAGCCAAAACAAACCTTCAGAAACTGATTCAGGAGCTTCCAGGTCACTTGCGGCCCGTGCTGCTTTCAGGCAGAGAGTTGTCAGTTGCCTCATCTTTCTCAGGGATTTGCAGCCAATCACGTGGCGCACTGGTTTTGCAGGCGCACAACTATGGATGCAATTTTAAGCACATTTCATTTTGCGAGAAAAGAAGAGAGTGCCAAATAAGGCTGATTCGGGATTTTCCTTGCGCCTGCATTTTTGTTGACCAAATGAATTTGGTCAGCATTGATGTGCAGAGCCAACTGCTGAAAGCCAAAGGCTTTGAGGAGACAATCGAGGTTTTGAAGCATGCAAGCTTCAATAGCCAGGCACCATGCTGCCGCCACAACAGTTTGTGCAGCTTACCAGTACAACCAGATCTATGCTTATTTGGAGCACCCTGCGTTGACGACTCATCTATGGGGAAGATGGGGTGTGATGATGGTAGCAGTCGCAGAGTCACTCAGATAGCATCTATAACTCCTAAGTCACCAGACCCCGCCAAAAACCTTGATAACAAAATCCTTGACCCCAACCCCGGGATTTATAGAAGTGTTTTTCCTGAAAACCAAGTACGCCCAGGGTCAGTCGGAACCATCCTGAGGCGACCTTGGTTCACTTGATGTCCATGAGGAGGACCAGGCCCAAGATAGCAATCAGTGAAAATGTTACCACCGGTAACATCAACCAGCGCATCGTTGAAGTTCTACAACATGACATGGATGCAAGAGAGTCTTGCAAGCATTTACTTGTGAGGTTTGCTGTCCTATGTCATGGGATGCCATGGGGGTCAGACCAAGCTTTGGATGTTGGAAACGTGAACGTGAAGCTATATAAGATATATATATATATATGCATGTTTCCCATCTCAGGTTATTTTCACAGAGCCCGCCGACGTTGGCTTTTCCTGCATTGCCCGCAAGCGTGCTTTCCAGATCTTTGTAGATAGAACCAAGGGCCGCTTTGTGGCAAACCCAGCAGAAATTTATCAAGCTCTCTGTGATGGTTTGGGCAGCAGGCATTTGACCATTGGCCACTTGATGGACTTTGCATCCAGCGAGGATCTCAAGCTGGAATTGGGGCTGCAGGGAAAGTCTATGGACTCATACCCAGGGAACCTTTTGTCTTCTTTTGAGACCAAGAACAAGGATGAGTATGAGAGAATCCTTTCAAACAAATATTCGGATGGCATCCCTGCAGACCAAGTGTATTGCCTTGGGCAGAATCCTCTAAAAGTTCCCAAGTTGAGCAACGGTGGAGTGATGCCAGCATTTACGAAAACGGACAAATTGCTGTGGCACCATGGTCTGAAGCGGCATGTGCTGGCAATTGAAAAATTTGCAGCGCATGGCATCGGTGTGACGGCTGATCTTGCAAAGCTACTGGGCACTCCAGCCACTTGACCCTAAGTCCTAAGTCACTACCTACTTTGCTGTCTACATGGGCATGCATGTGCATATACATATATATATATATACACGTGTATGTCATCAGGGCTCCATAGCTTCTTAGTCCAGCGAATGGCTGCGGCTAAGGTCTTCAATGTGACCCAGATGAAAAACCCTCACCCAGTTGCTGGCAATGGGCAGCACGCAGCTGTTGCTGCTTTGGTCCTGGCTTCTGCCTTGCTGTCGATCGAACTGTTTGAAGAGCTCCCTGAACCAACCAAGCCTTTGGCATCACCTTCAAGCAATGATGATCGCAAGCAGGCTGGGACATGTTTTGCATATAGTCCCAAAGTCCCAAGTCCCAAGTCAGCGACCTCTCATATATATATAGTATATCTATTCATATATGCATGTGACTGTGTGGGTTATATATATATAAATGAAACAATTGAACAACATCTGTGTATATATATATATATGCCGGTGCGGAAAGCACCCAGCTGTACAGGTCCAAGCTGATCATCCTGGACTCAAGGTACAGGATGACCGGGTCACCTTTCAGGTGGAGGGCTTTCAACGACAAATCCGTGTACCCCAAGAGGCAAGCACCTTGCGTCAAGCTGCTGAACGGTTGGCCCGCTTCGTGGAAGCAAAGGATGCAGAACAGAAGAACCTGTCATTGCTAAAGAGGACTGCAGCTGAAAGTCATATGACATTGTTTGGCCAAAAAAAATACTATATATATATAAGGGTAGTGAACTGCTGGTTGATTGGCAAATCCTCAAGCCCGATTCAAGGACAGATCTGGTGGCTTTGTGCAAAAGCCGTGACTTGAAAGTCACTGGTGCCATGAATCTGTTGAGGTTCAGAATACTTGCGCATCACCTTGAATCTCTGGAGCTCAATGGCAGTTCATGTCAGTTTAAAAACATATATATATATATATAGTGCATGCCAGATTCTTGGGCAAACATGTGGTTCCAGACTTGGCACTTGCTCTTTCCAATTGCTGGATGTGGAGGAGATGCAGAAGCTTCCCTACCAAGCACCTTCCAAAGAGCTTGGCCATGAAAATGCTGACAACGAATCCAAGAAGATGGAAGCAGCAGCAGAGGAGAAAAAAGTAAGAAGTAGTAAAGTCCTAAGTCATACAGCCTCATACAAACAATTGCACATGAGAAAA